CAGGACCAGGCAAGACCATATCATGTGCCCATCTTCTTAAGAAATGTTGAAGATGAAAAGGACTTGGTGTTTCTGTGTGCACATTGAGTGTGGAGATATGTGCAGTACATTTTTTTAAATAAAATTTTTCTTCTTTGAGTGCTTTATACATTTTTACAATGTATATTAATCCTAGAAACCCACCACATACTCTCTTTTAAGCTCCATCCATCTTTCTGTAGAATTCATTCCCTCTTCTTGGGTCATTAATAAGCCATAGAACCAATTGATCCTGTTCAAATGTTCATGCATGTGGGCATGACTGGGGCATGAGTAAACTGTCAGTAGTTGTATCCTTTAGGAGACCGATTATCCCTTCCTAGTCATCTAACAACTGCCAGTAAATAATTTTCATAAAGTAGAAATCTGTCTGAGTTGTTGTTGGGGTTGGTATTTGTTTGTGGATGACAATCTTTTCTTCCCTGCTCAGGGCAACTGCAATTCTTGTTGGGCATTTTCTGTGATTGGTGCCATAGAAGCACAGATAATCTGGCAACTAAACAAACTCACCCCTCTGAGTGTGCAGAACCTAGTGGACTGTTCTAAACCTCAAGGCAATAATGGCTGTGTTTCGGGTGATACATACAATGCCTTCCAGTATGTATTACACAATGGAGGTCTGGAGGCTGAGGCAACCTATCCATATGAAGGAAAAGTAAGTGGAAATCCTCTGCTGTCATTTTAACTCACCTTGGAGTGTGGGACAATTGTAGAGAAAATCCACTATTTTTAGAGCTCAAATTATTTGATAGAATCTCTCTGTACACCATCAATTCTGTCATTAGAGCATCTACATTTACATAACTTTCTGGTGAAATGATTTCAGTGCTCTGTTTGCTTGTGTGCACATAAAGAATATTCAAACTACTGTACATACAATAAAGATTTTCTACCTTAAAATTTCTAATGGATAGGAAGACCAATTTGTTGTCATTGAAGAAATGCAAACAAATTTTCAGTTCTAAATCTCCCAGTAGCATTTCACTTCCTGAGATGATTTATAACAGCCCAGACTTGAGTGTGCTCAGCTGTAAATGGCAGAATGTTGTAGTTGTGACTCATGTTCTCAAGAAGGTGAGTGAAAGTATCTGACTCTCTTACCTCTTTACCTTTTAAAGGAAGGGCAATGCAGATATAATCCAAAGAATTCCATTGCTGAAATCACAGGATTTGTGTCCCTCCCAGAAAGTGAGTACTATCTAATGGCTGCTGTTGCAACTATCGGGCCCATCTCTGTTGGAGTTGATGCTTCCCATGATTCATTCAAATTCTACAAGAAAGGTACACAAATTTTCTTCTAGATAAGAAAAATCTTAGGACATCCCTGGGCCACAACATGTTCATGGGCTGGTATTTATGTTTAAAGTGTGATGTGAATATTTGGTTTTCTGGGATTTTATTCCTCTCCACATAATCATCATGATCGTAGTTTTTCAGATAATGTGACCTCCACATGCAATTTAATATGTCATAATTAATGAAATTTATTGGTTAGCTAATTTTTCAACTCTCCTACTTTTCATGGATGTTTTAGGTACTTATAGAAACTGATTATCTAAAATTAAAATAAAACAGATCCCCTTGAATTAAGTAATTTATCTTCTATGTGGTATAAGGTTCTAAAAACAAAGAATAAAAAATTCCAGGGAGTCATCTAATATGCAAGTAAACAAGTGTTTATCAACAAATCTACACTGATTAGAATTGCTTCCCTTTTCTGTGAAAATCTCTATGTATTAGTGTTCTTGGTAACAATTCATTCAGCTCTTTTTTCTGATTGTAGTTTACATCATTCCTGGGATCTCTGAAAATGCTTTCTATTGTTAGTGGCAGTGGTCACTGTCAGGTGTCTTGTGCATCTCACATCAGCTTCCATTTTATTTCTCAGGTATTCATCATGAGCCAAATTGCAGCAGTAATTCTCTGACTCATGGAGTTCTGGTTGTTGGTTATGGATTTGAAGGAAATGAAATGGATGGTAATAACTACTGGCTGATAAAGAACAGGTATAAATTGCCAAAAAATATCTATTTGAAATTCCAGGGCCTTGATAGATGGTTCAGTGGTTTAAAGCACTGCCTGGCTTTCCAAGGGATTCATAAAGGCATTGCAAGTTGCAGTCAGTTGTTGAATACACAGCCCAAAACTTTGTCCCATTTTAGTTGAGCAATATGTGTTCTTGTTTTCCTACATACATGCATGAGGTGTGTGTACATGCATGGATGTTTACATGCTGGTGGATACATGAGTAATCGAGTGAGCATATGTAGAGGTCTGATGTTAGCATCAGCTTTTTTTTTATTTATGCAATTTCTATATTGCAGCAGTGTGTCTTGATGATCTAGTTCATTGTCTAGACAACTTGGTCCAAGTATGTCCTGTTACCATGTCCTGAGAACTTGAGTTACAGGCACAATAAAATGTCAATATCACTTTAATGTGACTCTTGACATTTATCTCCAGTCCTTAGCCTCTGAACTTTCCTACAGCTTGAACAGCCTACTCACAATGTGTGGTAATAATATTTCCATCTGTCACTGGTTTCTTGTGGGTCAATGTCATGTCTGTGCCATTGTTTTTCTAAAATCTGACACATTTCTTAATTTTGGGGGTAGACAACCATTCTGCCCATTCTCTACTATGGTGTTCACTGTCCTGTTTGAGGTGCCTCTTGGTGCTCAGAAGTAAATCCTCTACCTTTTCTGATACTTCTTTTAGGTTGGTCTCCTGTTAATATATATAAAATGTAAAATGTGTATATAACAGACATGTATAATTTATTAGATAATAAATCCAACATGCAATGATCTTTTTACTAAATGGAAAACACAATTTTATTTTCAGCTGGGGTAAACGATGGGGCAGGAAGGGCTACATGAAAATTGCCAAAGACTGGAACAACCACTGTGGAATTGCTTCATATGCCTACTACCCCACCACTATGTGAGCAACTTGACCACAAGAAAGCACCTGGCAGGAGACAGCATTTCCAGAGAAGTGCTGTCCCCCTTTTGGTGACTACACTTTGGTGGGTATATGGGAGTTATGTCTCCTAAAAGCTACATCGCCATGTGAATTTTGAAACCTTTCAACTATTTGACATTATGAGCACTGTTGCTCTAACGTATGTTTATGATCCCTGAAGAAACTTATTTTTAATTTTAATGATTGTGCAAATAAAATCATTTAAACAGTAAAAATTCAAGTATAATTTATAGGTCCTTTCTCTTTTTTCAGCAACTTTTTTTGGTTAAACTTGCAATTCATTATGAACTTAAGACTGAGTGTTATTCTGGTGTTCATAAGATTGTGTGGGTGGATCTACTGTGATGGATGATATTCAACTATTGGTTGTGGTTTGCTTATAGGGTTCTATTTATCTTTCAGAATCTCATCCCTGAAAGACTGTATGATAGTTTCTGAATTTGACATTTTTAGTTGGCACAAATTTCCCCAGGCTCAATTCTCAGCCAATTTCTGTAGTGCCATGGCCCCATGTGCTCCTCCAATGCATAATGCTGTGACTCTCCCTTTTCATGACTTCAACCCTGTGCTAGCTTGCTCTAGAGCCCAGAAACCATACTATAACATGCCATGATTATTGTAACATAGCTGAAGCACAAGATAAGGACCTTAAAATAGACTTTATAAGTATGATGGCGTTCTTTACAGGATAAATGAGAAAATGAATGAATGAAGACAAAAAGAGTAAAAGGAAATGGATAAAATATTTCAAGGCCTAAGAGTAGAAATAGAATCAATAAAGAAAACCAAAACCGAAGGAATTCTGGAAACGAAAAATTTAATGTTTCAAACATAAAACTCTGAGGCAGGACTCAACAGCAGACTAAAAGAGATGAAAGATTCTTAAGAAATTGAAAACAAGATTTTAAAAAGTGAATACCCCAGTAAAAGAAAATATTGCCAGTAATCTAAGGTGGTGTCATCCTTGTGGATTTCTGGGAACTTCCCTAGCACCTGGTTTCTCCTGATCCCCATGATGTCTCCCTCTATTGTGGTATCTCTTTCATTGCTCTTCCATTCCATCCCTGTTCCAGCTCAACCATTCCATTCCCTTAAGTTCTCATACCCTATTCCCTACCCTCCATTGCCCCCCTAATCCCTAGTCTACTCATGGAGATCTCATCCATTTCCCCTTCCCAGGGTGTTCCAATAGACTACCCCAGTAATCAGATTAGTGAATACCCTAACTGTCATTATAGAGCCATCACCCAGTAACTGATGGAAACAGATGCAGAGATCCACAGCCAAGCCCCAGGCCAAGCTCCAGGAGTCCAGTCAAGGAGAGGGAGGAGGGATTCTGTGAGCAAGAGACATCAAAATTATGATTGAGAAACATACAGAGACAGCCAAACCAATCCAGTGGGAACTCAAGAATTGTGGACTAATAGCTGTGGAGCCTCCATGGGACTGGAATAGGCCTTCTGCATAGGCATGACAGTTGTGTAGCTTGATCTGCTTAAAGGGCCCTCTGACAGAGGAATCAGGATCCATCCCTAGGGCATGACTGGAATTTGTGGAGCCCACTGCCTATGGTGGGATACCTTACACAGTCTTGGTCCAGGGGGATGGACTTGACCTGCCTCAACTGAGTGTATCAAGCTGTGCTGATTCCCCATTGGAGGCCTTGCTTTGGAAGAGGTGGGAATGGGGGTTGGGATGGGAGAACGTTGGGGCAGTAGGAGGAGAAAGGGGAGGGGAGATGTGGTTGGTATGTAAAATGAATAGAAAATTTCTTAATATAAAAGAAAAGAAAAAAAATAATTCCCCATCAAAAAAATATTGAATTAAAAAATTCCAGACACATTAAAAAATCATCCAGGAAACGTGGGACACTTTGAAAAGACCCAATCTTAGAACAATAGGAATAGATAAAAGAGAAGAAACCTAGGTCAATGACACAGAAAATATTTTCAACAAAATCAGAGAGAAAACTCCATAACCTAAAAAAGGAGGTGCCTCTAGAAGTACAAGGTACAAGAAACATACAGACGACAGCAAAGACAAAATTCCCTTGAACAAATGATAATCAAAGCACTAAGTGTACAGAACAAATAAAGACCATGAAAGGCTGCAAGGGGAAAAGATCAAGTAACATACAAAGACAGGACTATCAGAATAACACCTGACTTCTCAATGAGACTATAAAAGACAGAAAGCCCTGGGCAGATATTCTACAAACTCTAAGAGACCTCAGATGCCCAGACTACTATATCCCAGAAAACATTCAATCACAATAGATGGAGGGAAAAAAAGATATTTTGTGATAATTTCAAATTTAAACAGTATCTATTTAAAAATACTGTCCTGCAGAAAGCACTACGAGGAAAACTTCAACTTGAAGAAGTTAAAAACATGCATGATAAAACAAAGAATAAATATCCCCAGAACAGCAAATAAAAAGGGGGGAGCACCATGACAACAAAACTATAGAATAAATAACACTGTTTATTGATAACTTTCAACATTAATGGTTTCAATCCCCACCCTAAAAGAAACCAACTAACAGAATGAAATGAATGGATGCAAAAACAGGATCTAATTTTCTGCGGCATCCAAGAACCATATCAAAGACAGAAATCACTTCAGAGTAAAAGAAAGGAAAAATACATTCCAAGCAAATGGACCTAAGAAGCCAGCTGGAACAGCCAGTTAATATCTGACAAAATAGACTTCAAACAAAAGCTAATCTGAATAGATAGGGAAGGACATTACATACTCAACAAAGGAAAAGTCCTCCAAGTGATCATTTGAATTTTTAATATCTATACACCAAACACCAGGGCAGGAAAATTCATGAAGAGACTACTACAGCTTGAAACACATATTGATCCTGACACACTGGTTGTGGGAGACTTTAATGTCCCACTCTAGGCAATAAGCAGGTCATCTAGAAAAAACTGGACAGAGAAATGCTAGAAATAAGTGACAATATAAACCAAATGGACCTAACAGATATTTATAAAACATTTCACTCAAACACAAAAGAATATACCTTTTTCTCTGAACATCATTAAACCTTCTCCAAAATTGATCACATCCTTGAACACAAAGCAAGTCTCAAAAGATACATACACAGAAAAAAGAACAACAGCCTGCATGTGTGTGAACACCATGGATTAAAGTTGGATATCAAGGACAATAGAAACAATAGAAAGCTTACAGATTCATGAAAACTGAAAAACTCACTACTGAATGAAAAGTGGGTCAAGGCAGAAATTATAAAAGAAATTAAAGACTTTCTAGAAATAAATGAAAATAAATATACAGCATACTTAAACTTATGAAATACAATGAAGGTGACTCTAAGTGGTAAATTTATAAACTAAGTGCCTAATTTAAAAATTATAGATATTTCATACTATCAACTTAACAGCATGCCTGAAAGCTTTAGAACAAAAAGAAGATACCACACCCAAAATGAGTAGATACCAAGAAATATTCAAACTCAGGACTAAAGTCTATAACTCAGTGTAGATTAATTTCTAAATGGTCTTATTAAATAAAAAAAAAACATGGAGCCAAATATAGGGGTGAAAGCCTTAGAGAGATCAGGGAAATAGGGAAAACCACCAGCCAATCTTACCTCATCAACTCTGCAGCTTCCAAACATGAGTTACTTCCTGTCTACCCATACCTTTATTGCCTTGCTGTTCTGCCATCTGATTTGCTCTCTGTCTAGCTATATCACTTCCTCTTCCTGGTCAGCTCTGTCACTTCATATCTGTAAAGGCCTCCAGAACTCTATGGCTGGTACTGGGATCAAAGGCACATGCCACCATGTTTGGCTCTGTTCCCTAGTGTGTGGCTTTGAACACACAGAGATCCTGCCTGCTAAGTGATAGGATTAAGGGTATGTGCTACCACTGCCTGACTTCTTTGTTTACTTAAAATGGATTGCTATTTCCTCTGATCTCCATGCAAACTTTATTTATTAAAGCACAAATAAAATATCATCACATTTCCCCTTATTTTGTCTAATAAAAATAAAAAGTTATAGCTAATATGAGAAAAACTTTTCACAATAAGGACAATAACTATATATAATATAAACAAGCAATAAATATATCAACAGTGTCTAGTCCATTTGCATTTCACAAATTCAGAGAAAATATTCCATTATCTATTCTATTTTGGTGAGTCCAAAATGTACCTAATTCACTTTCTATCCTACCTTATATTACCAACAGAAAACTATCTAATGATGTATTTCAAACTTATACACTTAACATGTCTTAGTGAGTTTCTTTTCTGAATTTCTTAATAAGGAAAACTGTAACTATAACTATTTAATCTTCAACTACCTCAGAGACCTGAAAAGGAAGTAATGTTACCTAGTCAAACAGGAAGTGCAAACAAGTGACTTCCAAAAAATGAGTTATGACAGAAACAGCCAGCTTCCTGGACTGTCATCTGAGGTTTCTCTGCACATTGGGGTATCATCTTCGGCCTACAGTCTTAGCATATCTGACAGACTCATTTGTGAAGTAGGATGTACACAAGGTCAACAGCTTGACCTCACATTTGGTGCAAGTATTCCATATACCAGATAAACTTGAATTCTGCCAGTGTCCTGTCATGATTCAAGATTCTAAATTCTGGAAATTGCTGGTGTTTTTGGAGTTCAGCTTCCCATTCTTCTCAGGTTGTGGGTGGCTTCATCTCCTTTATTTAATACCAGCCTACCATTGAGTGGTTGGAGTCCATCAGCTTAGTTACTCCTTCAAGAATAACTGTGTCAGCTACTGCTCCACTGCACACCAGAAACCATTGGTCCACTCCCTGTTCAGCTACCTTTGAAGAAAGAGGGACTGTACCTTTTCCAGATTGCAAAGCCACTTCAGCAATGGTGCCATATTGTCCTGGCCTGAGAGGATGCCTGTTGTCAAAGCTGTAACCACACTTGTCTTGGCAGGGATTAGTAGTCCTTTGTTTGTATCCTGTTTGTCCATTTTGGATAGCATACTCTCAGCAGTCGATGTGAGGGCACTTTCTTGCTAAGTGCCTAGCTTTTGCCACAGTGAAAGTTAACTCTATATGCAGTTCCTTCAGTGGCCATATCTTCTCTGAAGTAGATTGGTGCTGCCAGGAGCAGACATGTCTCATAGTCATAAAAAAGAAGGAAATCTATGTTATTAAAACATTTTAAATGCCATATTCTGTAGATCTCTGAAGGGTTTGAAGATGACCTGTCCATCTAAAATATATCTCTGCTTGACCTTGAAAACATACCTAATGTGACTATAAGTTCAATTGTAATGTCTGACTACTAACTTTCATATCTTTATATCCTAATAGTTGGTAATAATAACATTCAAGGATTAGCAAATTACATTGTTAAATGAACTGTATAAGTACAACATCCTGAACAGGATTAGAAATATGTATACAGAATTTTCTAACAATATCAATCTCAAATTTGTATCAATATATATAATTTGTATACAATATATAAAAATCCAATCTAATATAAAATATTTAAAACTAGTAGATGTCTTTTAAAAGTAATTCAGTAATCTGCCTTTTTATTTGTATCATGTCTATATCCCCTCTTTTTTCTTTTCAGAGTAGATTAAATAATATGCCCTTTATTCTATAATTTCTATATTTTTTCAGAGTAGATTCAATAATCTACCTCTTATCCATATCCTGTTTTTCCTTTCCTTTTTTTCAAACAATAAACTTAAATCTATCTCCTTTGTTTAGATTCTTTCCTGACCATTAACAATAACAACTTGTCACCAACTATCCTAAACAATGACAATTATCCCAAACCCAAAATCCGTTGAAAGACCAAAAACCACTTATTGGGAATGTGGGTGACATGTTCTTAAAATTGCTTCCTACTGTTTGTGGGTGAAGGCATCTTTAGGAGATCCTGAAAAGAAAAAATTTTAATTAATTGTCAAGTTACTGTAGTGGTTGCTGTATCATTTGTTGTCCAGTCTCTTCATAATGCAAAAGTTCAGGGCTTATCTCAAGTCCTCACTGGAATAGTCTGTGAGACTGGATCATCTCAACTGGCCATCTCAAAATTGTCCTGAGCAGTTTGTAATCCAAAGCTTATCCTTGGGTGATGTTTGTCAGCTTAGTGGTATTATTGTTGTCCATGTGGAATCATCGTTGTTGGGCCCCATCATCTTTCTGGAGACTTCAATTCACTGTTAGGCCTGCTCATGATTCCCTTGCAGAAAACTGATAGAGACTCCAACACAAAAACATGTATAGGAAGTTAAACGAAGGCATTTTCTAGAATTAGTTAGTACTCAATATGACCATTAATATAACAAAAGTTTAAGATTATATATATGTATATATATCTTATAGATTTTGATATAAAATTCATACCTTAAGAAAAGTTTAAAGAATCAAAATAGAACCAAAGAATTGAGATTAGTGGCAATAGAATAGTCCCTTAATTTTGGTTTTCTTCTGTCCCATATCAGATGGCTCTTTCTTCTGACATGATATAGAGATTTTGCACTTTCCTTTTAACAAACATGCTTGAGTTTAGAGAAGGAGAGAGCCATTTTCCAACTCCAAAGCCAGTTTTAATTTTTGGTTGAACTGAGACTACAAAAAGACCATTTGTGTTAAGTGCTTTTAGAGAAGAGCAGAAACAAACATTTAGGAAGACATGAAATTTTATATGTGATGTAACAACAGGCCAATTTACTCTTTTCTTGGGACAAGTTTTTTCTAGATGACTTGTTCTTTTTCTTCAGCTGTCTCATTTGTCCAGTGTTCTTCAGATTCCTTAGCCTTCATTCTCCTGAAAGACAAAAACAAAAACCCTTCCTTAAGACTAATTTTGGGCAAGTTATATCTGATTGATAGAAAAGCATTTGTTAGTGGTATAAGTTAATTTAATTTGGATGGTCATGCTGGTTGACGAACTATCACCTCTTCTAATTAAGAGGTCTCTCTTGAACAAATCAAATCTTCATCAATGTTGATGGTATCCACAGCTTATCTTCTCCTGTAGAAACAAAAGCAAAACCTTGTTCCCAATGTAACACATATCCTGGTTTCCATTCTGAGGTCAGTGCATCTTTAAAGCACAAATGCTGATTCAATTCTGTAGTTTTTTCTATTATCCAATGTCTCTCCATAGCTGTTGTTCCTTTCTCATTAGCTTTAAGAAAATTCAAAGTTAATAGAGATTTTGTAATCTCTTTCTGGGGTTTTATTTTTGTTACCCCTTTCTGTTTATTTAGCATGTCCTTTAGAGTTCAATTTGATCTTTCTATGACTGCTTGGCCTGTAGGATTATGTGGTATACCTATAATATGCTTTATATTGTAATAAGCAAAAAACTGTTTCATTTTACCAGAGACATATGCTGGGGCATTGTCAGTTTTAGTTTGTGCAGGTATACTCATGATGGCCATAACTTCTAGCAAATGTGTGATTTCTGAATCAGCTTTTTCAGAACTCAGAGCAGTTGACCATTGAAATCTTGAATAAGTATCAGTGGTGTGCTGTACAAAGTTCAATTTTCCAAATTCTGCAAAGTGAAACACAAACACATCCATCCACCAGATTTCATTCCTCTGAGTACCCTTTGGGTTACATCCTGCAGGTAGTGGAGTCCAATTGTAAAAATAACAAGTAGGACATTTCCTTACAATTTCCTAGGCTTGTTGCCAGGTTATAGAAAAATCCTTTTTTAAACTTCTACTGTTGTCATGATGTTTCTTATGAAATTCTGAGGCCTCCAGCACACTTCCTATCAATAGTTTATTAATCTCATCATTACCTTGTACTAGAGGGCCTGGCAGAACCATATGGGATCGGATGTGAGTTATATATAAGGGGCAATTCCTATTCCCAATTATGTCCTGTAACTGAATAAATAACAAAGTTAATTCTCACCCAGGAGGGATAAATTCTGCAGTCTCAATATATAATACCACTCTTTCAGCATATTGAGAGTCAGTAACTATGTTGAGAGGTTCTGAAAAATCCATTAATACCAACAGAATGACATACAACTCTGATTTTTGAACTAAATCATAAGGACTTTGAACCACTTTACTTAAATTTTCTGACTGGTAACCTGCCTTTCCTTGTTTGCTTGCATCTGTATAAAATGTACAAGCTCCAGATATGGGTGTTTCCCAAGAAATGTGAGGCAGGATCCAATCAGCTCTTTTTATAAGTTGAATTCTATCAATTTTGAGGGATTTGATGTTAATCTCTCCCAAAAAAATTCTGCAAGCTCTTTGCCAGGGTTCACTTTCTGCCCATAATTTGTCAATTTAATCCTTAGTTAAAAGTATGACTGTTTCTGCTAATTGACAAAGTCTCAATTTTCCTTTTAAAATCATGTCAGAGATATTTTCTACACAAGTTTTTAATTTTTTACTCTGTTTGGTAGAAATATCCACTCTTATATAACATCTTCCCTCTGCATTAAAATTCCTGTAGGAGAATGCTTAGAGGGTAAAATAACAAAAATGCAATCAAGGTTTGGATCCACATGATCCACATGTCCTTCCTGTACTTTCTTTTCCACCAACGCCAATTCTCTCTCAGCTTCAGCTGATAATTCTCTTGGACTATTTAAGTCCTTGTCACCTTCTAAGCTTTTCAACAAATTACTCACTTCATCATTTTTTAACCCAACAACAGTTTGTAGATGAGAAATGTCTCTAAAATCCTTGAAAGTCATTAAGAGTCTGTAATCAATCTCTCCTAATTTGCACCTTTTAGAGTTTAATTTTTTTTGTAGACTTATTTTATATCCTAAATAATTAATAGAATCTCCTCTTTGCATCTTTTCAGGAACAATTTATAATCCCCAACAAGGCAAAATTTTCTTTACTTCTTCAAACATTCTTTCTAAAATATCTGCATTTGAATCAGTTAGTAAATTATCATCCATGTAATAGTAAATTATAGATTTAGGAAATTGTTTATGTATTACTTCCAAAGGCTCTCGTACAAAATATTGGTACATGATTGGGCTATTTAATGTTCCTATTGGAGAACCCTCCATTGATATCTCTTGACTGGCTGAGAATTATTGTAAGTAGGCACTGTGAAGGCAATTGTTTCTCTATCCTTTTCTTGTAAGGGTATTGAGAAGAAACAGTCTTTTAAATGGATAACTATAAGAGGCTATCCTTTAGGTAACAGAGTAGGCAAAGGAATTTCAGATTGTAGAGAGCCCATTGGCTGAATTACCTTATTAATTGCTCTTAGGTTTGTTGCCATTCTCCATTTACCAGATTTCTTTTTAATAACAAATACAGGAGAATTCCAAGGTCTGGTTGGTTCTTCAATATGCTGAGCATTTAACTGTTCTTATGCCAGCACTTCTAAAGCCTGCAGTTTCTCTGTTGTTAAAGGCCACTGCTGAACCCATACAGGCTTGTCTGTTAACCATTTTAAAGGTAGAGCTATTGGTGTCTTTGAAAGATTAGCAGTTGTTGTGGCCTGTTTTTGTGCAATCTGGATGGCTGGTGACTGTTCTTTATAATAGTGCCTCCTAATATTTCTCTTAGAAACACGTGTTAGTTTATGGTTTGTTTCTGAGATTGGAAGAATGTTAAGCTGAGTATTCCATTGTTGTAACAGATCACAGCCCCATAAATTCATAGCTATATTAGCCACATATGGCTGTAATTTTCCTCTGTGACCTTTTGGCCCTATACATTTGAGCCATCTTGTACTCTGTTTCACTTGAGATAATGTTCCAATCCCTAGCAGTTGAAGATTTACCTCCTGAAGAGGCCAATTTGGATGCCAAAATTCTGGTGCAATAATTGTAATATCCAGTGTCTATCAAACCTTCCAAGAGAGCATCATTTATTTGTATTTTTAATTTTGGTGTTTGTTCATTTATAGAAGTTTGCCAAAAAAATTCGCTTTGTGGTTTCTCCTGAATTTCCTGCTACAGCTGTTCTATCACCCTGAGCAGCCTGACTTAATTCAATAGATATTTGTTTATTTAATTGCTCTGAGAAGGGGTTTCTGCTATGTTGGCAGGAAAAGTCTGAACTGAATTTGTCATGGGGGCCTGTATGAGGCCCCTCTGGGAGTTTCCTGACAGCAGAGGCAAAGGATTACCTTGTCTGTCACTTGTTGATCTACATTTATTGGTCCAATATTTACCCTTACCACACCTTCTGCATAATCTAGAAGGGAGGGGCATTCTGTTGCCCTTGTTCCTTGAATAAACATTGTTTCTAGGAATGCCCTGTTTACACTTCCTTATCAAATGACCTAGTTTACTATAACTAAAACATGTGACATTATTTTTCCTCAAAGCTTTTGATATTACCTCTCCTATCCACATATCATGGTTATGAAACTCATTATTGTGTCCCTGATCCAGTCCTCCAAGGGTGCTGATCTGGCCTTAATGTCCTGATTATTCTTTTACATGCTTCATTTGCATTCTCAAAAGCCAAAGATTCAATTATTTTCTGCCTGGATTCTTAATTTGGTATTATTCTATTTATTGCTGAAGACATCCCTTATAAGAAATCTATGAAGGATTCTTCTGGGCCTTGTATAACTTTTGTAAATGATTCAGTTTTCATCCCTGCCTCCTCAATTCTGTCCCATGCATCCATGACTGCCATGTGGCATAGAATTAAGGTTTGGTTATCATGTAAACATTATCTTTGTATATTGGCAGAATTTCCTTCTCCTAGAAGCTGATCCTGGGAAATTTCCACACCTCTAGTCCTACATTTTTGTTGTATTGTTTTAGCTTCCTCTTTAAACCAAGTTCTCCACTGTAATTGTGCGTTGGCCTCTAGGACAGCTGTAATTAATTCTTTCCAGTCCTGAGGGATAATTTTATTACAAGTTTTCCACAAGTTTAACATCTGCTGTACAAATAGAGAATGCATGCCACATGATACTATAGCTTCTTTAAATATCCTTAAATCTAACATTTCTACAGGAGTCCAATTAGCTTGTACATGCCCTAGAGCAGGTAGTTCCTGTAAGGTTACCAGATAGATTAAGTTTGGTTGTTTGAAAACAGGCTTTCTCTCTATAACTGTACAATTCAATCATGAAGTAATTCCACCTTTAAATTCTTCTGTCTGGGTCTGAATTTCTCTATAATTCATTTTAACAGCTTTTTCTAAAGTCAATCCTGAGTTAGGTTTATCTTTAAATTCTCCTGTCTGGGTTTGAATTTCTCTATTATTAATTTTAACAGGTTTTTATAAAGCATTTATCTTGGCACTTAAATTAACCAACTTTTTAATGCTAAAATAAAAATGATTAAACAAATAATATTCATAATTGCTGTTACATACATCCCATCAACATTAATTATCTTCTCATTTAATGTTCCATTTTCAGACTGCCTAATGTGTTATCAAACAGAGACCAAATTCATTCCATGGTAAAAATGTTTCCCATTTTTTTTAATGTGGGAAAAATTCTCTTTTAACTAGTGTCACCCTTTAAGATATCTTAATTGACTTACCAAGTCTGCCGACTGCATAGAACAGTAGAAGTATGAGAGAATTTTAAATCAGTTTCCTAATGTGGTGGCAGTCTGAGATGGGAATCGAGAGAGAGAGAGAGAGAGAGAGAGAGAGAGAGAGAGAGAGAGAGAGAGAGAGAGCCCACCACTCACCAGGAGAAAGAAAACCCAAAAGATTCCTGCCATGTGCTCTGGCCTGAGCCATGCAATCGGCCTGAGCCAGGGGCCATGTAAACACACAAGCGGTTTTCTAATGAATTCTTGCCATGTGGGCCAACTACAAAATAATACAAAAAACCCTCTTTATTAATGAAACA